ACTTAAAAACACCTCTAAATTTTATCTCTACCTGTATATAATAAGGTGTTTCTGAGGATTTAATGAATGTGAAAGTTTCTCAGAAAGTATAATATTGCTCAAGTATTATTAGTATTAATAGTTCATTTTGACAGATGCTTATATTATGCATGGTTTGTCCTTTATGGTTAGCTAAAACGACACATGGTTTGTTCTTTACACATATATTAAAAATGCCTTTTAACTGTGGCTCAAATAGAGTTATATTCAGTTTTTCATTTCTATTATAGTGAAATTAGCATTTTAAAGTGGTGTGAGTTTCTTCAGGCATAAACTATATTCTATTTTTTACTTTATGAGAGGAAACTAGCAGTAGTTTATCTCCTGGCTTTCATTTTGAACTCTCAAGGAAATTGTTTTGAAGTGCCCTCTTTAGTATAAAAGAGACAGCTTCAGATTTAGCTATGTTCAGAAATTCTTCGTGCTTTTTACTGTCTCTAATCCTTGCCCCCAAGTTGAAGAATGTAGAATGATATTTTCTTTGTCTGCTTATTAAATGTTTGTGGTACTCTTTGAAACAGCATTTTTACTTCTAGGCACTTATCTTTAGGAAATAATTGACCACATGGAAAAAGTGGCACAGTATTTAAAATCCATGCCCTAAACTGTATGGGCTCAGAACCACTAACTAGCTATGTATTTGGGCAAATGACCTAATCTCTCTCTTCTTTTTAAAAAATCTTTGTTGTTGAGAGTATTGGGAATGTAAAATGGCACAGCCATTTTGTAAACTTTTGGCAGTTCCTTAAAAAGCTAAATACAGTAGGTCCTCGGATTATATTGGAGATCTGTTTCTATGGCGTGACATAACATGATTTTCGCCATAAGTCGGAACCCACGTACATAAGCACCTACATCACTCACATGGAGCACATGTACAGTAGTAATGAAGTGAAACAGTAAAAAAAAATTAAAAGGTAACAATTCTTGACCTTTACTTGTGGTAAATACATAATAAAAAACATAAAGCACATATGTACATATGTAGAAATGACAGAACTTTTTTTTTTTTTAATAAATAAACTAGAGGCCTGGTACACAAATTTTATGCACGGGGTGTCCTCCTAGTCCAGGGGATTGGACCTAAACAGGCAGTTGGACATCCCTCTCACAATCCAGAACTGCTGAATCCTAACTGCTCACCTGCCTGCCTGACTGCTTGCTCCTAACTGACCCCGCCCCCTTGCCAGCCTGATTACCCTAACTGCCTCTGCCTGACAGCCTGTTCGCCCCTACCCTCCCCCCCCCCCCGCTGGCCTGGTTGCCCCCATCTACCCCCCCCCCCACTGGACTGGTTGCCCCCAATTGCCTCCCCTGCCAGCCTGGTTGCCCCTCACTGCCCCCATTTCCTCCCCCCCCCCCTTGCTGGCCTGGTCACTCCAGGCAGCTTTCTGTTCATTTGTTTGGTTGCCCCTCACTGCCCCCACTGCCAGCTTGGTCGCCCACACAGCCTGCTGTTGAGTCATTTGGTCTTCTCTCACTAAATCCCCTGCAGGCCTCACCACCCTACGCAGCCTACTGTTCATTCATTTTATCTTCCCTCACTAACCCCCCTGCCAGCCTTGTCACCTCACACAGCCTGTTGTTCAGTCATTTTGTTGTCCCTCATTACACCTCCCCCCCGCCCCGCCCTCCTTGCTGGCCTGGTTGCCCCACGTAGCTTGCTGTTCAGTTGTTTGGTCATCCCTCACTAACCTCCTGCCGGCCTTGTCACCCATGTAGCCTGCTGTTCAGTCATTACTGTGAGGGTGTCCTGACACAAAACAATGTATGTCAAGTCCGACGTAACCTGAGGACTGTCTGTATGGAGTTAACATGTGATTTGGCAAATTCCACTTTGGGTTTTATACCCAAAATAATTGAAAACATATGCCTACACAACTTGTACGTGAATGTTCATAGCAGTGTTACTCAGAATAGCCAAAATGTAGAAACAACTGAAATGCCCATCAAATGATGAATGAATAAAATGTAGTATATCCACACAAAGGAATATTATTCAGCCATAAAAAGGAATAAAATACTGTTACATATGGATGAATTGTGAAGACATTATTCTAGGTGAAAGAAGCCAGACTCAAAATTACATACATTTCATTATATGAAATGTTCAGAATAGATACATCTATAGAGACAGAAATTATTGGTTTCCAGGGGTAGGGGAAAAGATTATAGGAATTAACTGCTAATAGGAATGGGGATTTCTCTTTGGAATGAAAAAATGTTTTTTTGAATGAAATAGTGGTTAGGTGCATAGCTTCATGAATATACTAACCCTCTCCCCCCCACACACATCCACACAATCCCACAAAGAGAATCAACCCACTGAATTGTACAAAAGATTAAAAAAAAAAAAAAAAAAGAAGAAGAACAAAGAAATACGAACCAAATTGAACCATAGGAGTTAAAAAAAAATACAGTATTGCAAAGGAATATCTCATTGGATGATATTGGGAGCAGATTAGACAATGCAAAAAACCCCAACACATTAAGGAACTTAAATATTAATGGCAATAAAAACTAGCCTGAACAAAGTATGGAGAGAAAAAAAGACCTGAGAGTGGGGACTAAACTGAACAGCCTCAGTGAATTGGACACTAAATATCAAGCAGTCTGTTATACATAAAATCCCTGAAGGAGGCTCTTCAAACTGGCTCACATCCTTTTGCCACATCCCCATCATTCTCACAGCACTGGCACAATAGGCTCCCCTTGTACTTCCTTTTCCAAGCCTTGGAACCAGCCATTTCTTCAAGGATTCTTGGTTCCTTTTAGTAAAGTGATATTTAGAAGCCAAAACATAGTGCTAGCTGTGCTCATTATTATTGGAGGTATTGCTCATAAAAAGAAAATGTTCTTAAGTAGCATGTAAAAAAGGAACCCTGCAATTTGATTTCCATCAAAATACTGTTTGAGAGGTGGTGGTGGTGTTAAATTGGCAGAACAGAGACTAATATAAGAGACATCCATGTGCCCATCCTCCCGAATTTAACATATAGAAGCAAAATCTCTAGCAAATTGCTTTCCAGAGTGGTTCCAGCAATTTACAAACCCATTAGCATTATACTCCTATTTGACCATTTCCTTACTAGTATTTGGTTTCATCAGTTTTTTTAATTTTTCTAATCTGGAAAGAAATCTTATTGCTATTCATTGGTTATGTGGGTTTCTTCTTGGGTGAAAGGCTTTTTCTATCCTTTACCTGTATCTCTCTCTCTCTTTTCATTCTAAAATAAATATTCTGTAGTCTTTTTTTTACCTTCAGTCTGACAGCTATAATTTCGTAGTCTGTGACTTGACTTTCATTTTAATCACAAGATAAAGAGTTTTTGTATTTTACTTTGTCAAATTAATTTTTGTGTCTCATGAAGTCTTTCTATCTTTTTTTTTTTTTCGCAGGGAGCTTCTATACTTCTAAGATTTTTAAAAATATGTTTTTATTGATTTTTTTAGAGAGAGGAAGGGAGAGGGACAGAGCTTGAACCTCAGTGGAGGGCATGCAGGAGGCAGCCAATCAATGTTTCTCTCTCATCGTTGATGTTTCTATCTCTTTTTCCTTCTCCCTTACACTCTGAAATATAAAAATATTTATTAAAAGTAATAAATATAGCCCTAACTGATTTGGCTCAGTGAATAGAGCATCAGCCTGCAGACTGAAGGGTTCCAGGTTCAATTCTGGTCAAGGGTATGTACCTTGGTTGTAAGCACATCCCCAGTTGGGGGTGCACAGGAGGCAGCTGATCTACATTTCTCCCTCATTGATGTTTCTAACTCTCTATCCCTTTCTCTTTTTCTTTGTAAAAAAAAAATCAATGAAATATTTATTTTAAAAAAGTAATGAATATAAAGCAAAATTTTTTTTGATGAAATATACTTCATAATTTTCTTTTATGGTTCATGCTTTTTGTGTCTCCAAAAATCTTTGCCTACCTTTAAATATTACATAATTTATATGTAATGTTACTATGTTGCCATATTTTTTCATTTTTCCCTTTGTACTATTGTTTCATACACTATAATACTACATATGTTTTTAATAACACTTTATAAATCCTACTACACATTGTTATTTTTTCTTTAAACAGATATTTTTCCTTCAAAGAAATTAAGAAACATAAAGCAAGTTTTTTTTATGTGGGTCTCTCCTTTTCACAGGAAAGGGACCTGGCATATTTTTTAAAATTCCAGGACCTAACATAGTTCCTGACATATCATTTATGGAATGTGAAAGATGATTTTGCCTTCAAGTCAGAAACTAGAAACTTGAAGAGGTTGGATATGGATTAGTAAATTGGTGAAAGCAGTTTGATCTCTGTAGTGGGCTTGGAATGGCTGTGTCCAGGGACAAATGGCCGTGTCAGGGACAAAAAAGTACACACAATGTTAGAATTTTTAGCAAAATCATACTGGATGCAGAGGAAAGGCATGTAGCATAATTTAATTAGCCTCTTTAACCAGAAAAAAATAGTTTAAGAGGGAGGAAGGATTATTGGACAGGTGTTACTTAGAAAGAAGCAGACTTATTTGGCAATGGATTAACCATAGGAGCATTAGTTCTACTGTTTAGACTGAGAATCATGTAAAATGGTGACCTGCTCATCCTGAGGAAATAATCAAGGGGGAGAATTCAGGGAAGTGATGGCACATTCATGTTCTTGCTCATGGGGGGTTAATCTGACTGCTCTTGGTTCAGTGGGAAAGAATGCTATGAAAATTCAGTTATAATCTGTTAATGGTGTGGAGGGGGAAATGGCTGTATTTGTTCAATACTAGTTGATGGTTTGTATTTTTTGTGTTAATTTGTGAATGACCATGGATCTATAATCAGTTGGCCCAGTAGTTGAATATGTAAACATGTTCTATATAATTTTAGTAGTGTATATTTTATAAAAATGTGAACTTTATAGAGTCAAGTAGGCTATAGGTTTTTAAGATTAAAAACTCTTTTTTTTCTAAATTAGGTTTGTTACAGGAGGAGAAAATGGCCATTGAAGCATTTCAGATTTGCTGCCTCCTCCTGCCACCTGAAAATAGGAGAAAGTTACAGCTGTTAATGAAGATGATGACAAGGATCTGCTCAAATAAGGAGATGCCACCACTTTGTGATGGCCTTGGCACCCGGACGCTGGTAGGTTGAGCTATAACATCTAACATGACTTGAGTTTTTGGAATAAAATTAACCTGACTAAAGTGTACTAGCTTGGCAAGTTGAGGAAGATACTAGTACATGGCAGACGTGGTTATGAAGCCATGGCTTGGAATCCACCCAGACTGGTATTGTGCTTTTGGTCTTAGTGTCTTAAAGAACATAATAAAAGTGAGTAGGGTAGACTCTGAGTGTATCCTGTGTATTGTCAACACAAAGAGAAGGAAGGTAGACAGAAAGGGTAAGGGATTTCTCAAGAAAATAATACTCTCCTCCAGGTCAAAAGGGTTGCAGAGCCATTATTACTATAACCAGTAGGAGAGATGCAGATATAAAGAGATTAATGAGGGAAGAAGTAAAATGTGGAATTTGACCAGATAACTTGTATCTGTCTCCTAAGGTATGACCTAAGGGTCCATGAATGAGGGTTTTTCTTAAAATACGCTCCATTTTGCTTAAAATTGAGTAATTTTAAATTCTATTTTGTATTGTCAGCATGTGTTTTAAAATGGGGTTTATGTTTGGAATTGCTAATTAGCTAAATTTCTTAATTTATTATTTCTAAAAAAAAAAAAGTCTTGGAGTGAAAATGATGCTTCATTGGTATGTAAATGTTATTCCCATATCCTGGTGAACCCTGTGTTCTCCTGGGGGTCCACTGGCCCAGTTTTAGCAGTGTGGCGTAAGATAAGAGGAGTCCTCAGTGCCCAGGGAAGTGACTCCTGTCCTTTTTGGGGAAGGAATTGGTAGGGAGGCTAGTGGACCTTTCTGAAAAGCTGAAGAAAAGTTTGCACATTTTCTCCAGAAAAACACGTGTAAATTTTTGCATACAATTTCAAGGCATTCATGGGTACCCTTGGGTCTGTAGTCTCCCAGTACAGAGTCTCTGTGCACATAAATGTGAATGAAGGTCAAGTGTCATCTGCAGTGTTGATAAAGTGATGCCTTATTAGACAGAATTACATGTTTATAGATTTTGAAATACAATTGATTTTATTAAGAAAATCAATCCAATGGATAGCATTAAGAATGGAGTAGTTTATATGAATTCTGTTTATATTTCTGCTTACCGTAAAGGGTCTCATCACTTAATGTACTTCTTGTAAAGTCTCATGGTTTTCTTCAAGGTCACTGTCAAATGTACATTCAAAATCCTAGAGAAAATAACAGTTAACTAGAAAAATATGTAGTGTTTGAGACCCACAAAATTGTGCTAGTAGATTGAAAAAAAAAATCAATGATTAAAAAAAAAAAATCAATGATGTAATTAGGATATTATCAGACTAAATCGCTATAAAGTACACTGAATTTAAAAGTTGCTACATGATCAAGGTCATGGTGGTAATTATAAGTTACAGAATTTGTTTAGATACATATACTTAAAGAGGCTTAAAAGCCTTCAGACTAGCATTTCTGCTAAGTCTCTGTGAAATGCAATGCACATTCTGCTCATGCTGATTAATGAGAAAATCTACGCATCTGAGATGACCAGGTGTGGCCAAGTGCCAGGTAGGATGTTCACCTGGGGCTGTGGACCATTTCTCACTGACTAGTCACATTTAGTTTTTGCAATTCAGAGTAGGGAAAAAAATTCATTGGTATTGAACAATGTTCCCCACTTTTTTTTTTTCTTCTTTTAGATGATTCAGACATTTTCCCGATGCATCTTGTGCTCCAAGGATGAAGTGGACTTGGATGAGTTATTGTCTGCTAGGTTGGTGACATTTCTGATGGACAATTACCAAGATATTCTTAAAGTCCCTTTGGCCTTGCAGACCTCCATAGAGGAGCGTGTGGCTCACCTACGAAGAGTGCAGGTAAAGGAAGGGATATTCTCAAATGTTATGAAATTGTCAGCTAGACTTCTTGAGAGTTTACGTTATGAGGACTAAGTGAATTAATATGTACAAGGTGCTTACAATAGGCGTGGCACATAGTAAGCGTACAAGTTTGTTATCACTGAAAATTTGTGGGTTGCCTACTTGGTTTTGCTACGTCAATCAAAACTGCATAATTGTGATTGCAAAGTCCTTAATTGAATTTGTTCAGAGTCTATATATACTTCCTGATGAAAATTATTTATATGAAATACATGTCTTTTTAAAAAAATATATATTTTATTGATTTTTTACAGAGGGGAAGAGAGAGGGATAGTTAGAAACATCGATGAGAGAGAAACATTGACCAGCTGCCTCTTGCACACCCCCTACTGGGGATGTGCCTGCAACCAAGGTACAAGCCCTTGATTGGAATCGAACCCGGGACCTTTCAGTCTGCAGGCCGACGCTCTATCCACTGAGCCAAACCCATTTCTGCTGAAACACATGTCTTCATTCTTAATAGCCCTGCAACCTACGTACTGTTATTATATTTTTTGGATAAGAAAGCTTTGGTACAGAGAACTTAAGCAACTAGTCCAAGGTGACAGTGCCAGGATTCAAATGGATGAGATCAGTCTCCAGAATCAGTGCCCCTAACTCCTTTGCCATACTGCCTCACTTCAAAACATGTGTGGTAGGAGAGCAAGAGCCATAAAGACCTAAGCAAAACTCCTGGCTCCCCTCTTCCCTAGTTGTGTGGCTCTGGGCAAATCCCTTAACCTCTCTTGATTTTAGTTTATTCAATTGTCAAAATGGGCCACACATGCTGTATAAAGTGGTTGTGAAGCGTTTCACAGCATAACACTAAATTATGGATTACTGTAAAACCCCTTGCACAACTGTCTGACATGGTAAGCACCTCTTGAAAGGGAGTGCTGTTATCGTTATTGCTATAATATGTGGACCCTAAAATGGGGTTTGTATGTCAGCCTGTAGGTACAGAAACTTTTGGTAAAAAGTCTTGGCAGAAATTCTGCTTGGTTCCTTCAGAATGATTCGACCTCTTCTTCACTGAAGTGCTTTTTGAGGTTCCTCAGTTTTGGGGCAATTTGGGGCTGATCTGGGATAGATCAGTTGTGAGGCAGGCGGTTTTTACACCAGCCTTCTATCAGTCTCATTTGCAACCCTCTTCTCCCTGTTGTGCCCTTTAATGATAGATATCTGATGTTTTCCTCCTTTTACCTAGGACTCACTCTTCATTCCGGCCCTCTCCTGGTTTTACCGGCCAGAATAAAGGGTGGGTCCCAGGTAAATAAAAGGAAATGTCCTTTCTTTCCCTTCTGGTCCTGGTCTGTCTCTCTGAGGTAATCTCTAACTGATGTGGTAAACTGGTGTTAAGGCATGGACTATACCTAATGTACTAACTCTTCTTGGCAACACTTATTTTTAACTGTGGCTTCTGGAAACCTATCTTAAGCCAAAGAAGTGGATAGCTGCAATTTTATCCACTGCAGAAGATCAGTAGATGCCCTATTTTTGAGAAGATGACCCTCTTGGACTCTGAAGTTAAGTATTTTTCATGGATGCTCATTTATTCACAGGATTCCTTTGCCCTGTACAGTGTCTGCACATTTGTTGTTTTCACCTGATTCTCACTATTCACCTGTTTGACGATGGTTGTAGGACTTCCCTCTCCATGACAACTGGGCTAAGGTGTGCAAGGAAGGGAACACCAGACTCTTCAGATGGGGAAGGAACCTGATAGTTCACTGTGTGTCCAACGTTGGTTTTTGTTTTGAATCATTTTAGAATCAACTTGTTCAGTTTATGTTTCAATTTCAGACATTATTAAGAGTTTTCCCCAGTTAAAATTGAGGAATGACATGGCATTCCTAGTAGGAAGTATTCTGTGTTTTAACTAAACAGATTTTTGTAATTTATTTGAAAATACTCTTTTCTTTCTCTACTAATCCTTTTGCTTTAGATAAAATACCCAGGAGCCGACATGGATATCACTTTATCTGCTCCATCATTTTGTCGTCAAATTAGTCCCGAGGAGTTTGAATACCAAAGAGCATACGGCTCTCAGGAACCTCTGGCAGCTTTGTTGGAGGAGGTTATAACAGATGCCAAGCTTTCCAGAAAAGAGAAGAAGAAAAAATTGAAGCAGGTAAAAGGAATATTCTTTTTTTCTTTTTCTCTCTCTCTACAGATTAAGGTATTACATATGTGTCTTTATCCCCCAATGACCCCCCCCCCCCCGGTGTCTATGTCCATTGGTTAGGCTTATATGCATGCATACAAGTCCTTTGGTTGATTTCTCCCCCCTTATCCTCACCCTTCCCTGCCTTCCCTCTGAGGTTTGATGGTCTGATCGATGCTTTTCTGCCTCTGGATCTGTTTTTGTTCATCAGTTTATGTTGTTCATTATATTTCACCAATGAGTGATATCTTTCTCTGACTGGCTTATTTCACTTAGCATAATATTCTCCAGTTCTATCTATGCTGTTGCAAATGGTAAGAATTCCTTCTTTTTTAGATGTATCAGTTTTCTAATCCACTCATTTGCTGCTGGGCACTTAGGCTGTTTCCAAATCTTAGTTATTGTAAATTGTGCTGCTATGAACATAGGGGTGCATATATCTTTTCTGATTAGTGTTTCTGTTTTCTTGGTATATATTCATAGAAGTGGGATCACTGGGTCAAATGGCAGTTCCATTTTTAAATTTTTACGCCATACTGTTTTCCACAATGGCTGCATCAGTCTGCATTCCCACCAGCAATGAAGGAAGGTTCCTTTTTCTCCACATCCTCACCAGCACTTGTCATTTGTCCATGATAGCCATACTGACAGGTGTGAGGTGGTACCTCATTGTTGTTTTGATTTGCATCTCTTGGATGATTAGTAACTTTGAGCATGCTTTCATGTGTCTCTTGGCTTTCTGAATGTCCTCTTTGGAAAAGTGTCTATTTAGGTCCTTTGCCCATTTTTTGATTGGGTTGTTTATATTCCTTTTGTTAAGTTGTATGAGTTCCCTGTAAATGTTGGAGATTAAACCCTTATCAGAGATAACATTGGCAAATATGTTCTTCCATGCTGATGCTTTCTTGTTGTTTTGTTGATGGTTTCTTTTGCTGTGCAGAACTTTTTATTTTGATGTAATCCCAATTGTTTATTTTCTCTTTAGTTTCCATTTCCCTAGGATCTGTACCGGTGAAGAAATTGCTTCAGCATATGTCTGAGATTTTGCTGCCTGTGGGTTCCTCTAATATTCTTATGGTTTCCCATCTTAGGTTTAAGTCCTTTATCCTTTTTGAGTTTATTTTTGTGTATGGTGTAAGTTGGTCGTCTAGTTTTATTTTTTTTCATATATCTGTCCAATTTTCCCAGCACTATTTATTGAAGAGACTGTATTGACTCCATTGTATGTTCTTGCCTCCTTTGTGAAATACTAATTGAGTTAGTGGTTTGGGTCGATTCTGGGTTCTCTATTCTATTCCATTGATCTATATGTGTGTTCTTATGCTAGTTCTAGGCAGTTTTGAGAACAGTGGCTTTGTAATACAGCTTGATATCTGGTATTGAGATCCCACCTACTTTGTTCTTCTTTCTTGGGATTGCTGCAGCTATTTGGGGCCTTTTTTTTTATTCCAGGTGAATTTTTGGAGAGTTCATTCTAGGTCTATGAAATATGTCGCTTTTTTAATGGGGAGCTCATTGAATCTATAGATTGCTTTGGCTAGTATGGACATTTTAATTATGTTGATTCTACTAATCAATGAACACGGTATATTCTTCCATCTGTTTATATCTTCCTCCATCTCTTTTTTCAGTGTCCTGTAGTTTTCTGAATAAAAAGGGATATTCTTTATTAGTAATTTATTCTCCCTATAGTCCTTATGGTTTTTTAATTCTCTATTTTAATAGTTTCATGTGAATCTCATCTTCTCGGATAGCAGTTTTGAAAGTATATTGTTTAGTTCATGTATTCCAGAAGTCTCAGTGATTTACACATGTAGATTGTGGTCAATTTCCCACATCTGTTTTCTCCAAAGTACATCTTTTACCATTTATTCTCTAATATTTGTCTTATTTTTTATATGTGGCATATGATATGAGTTAGTAGAGAAATTACTTTAAATTTAGAGAAGCTATTAAATGAGGACAGATTTCTTTGAAATTAGACTGAATTTACAAACATAAAATGACTAGAAATTAAAAGCCTTTGGTTTTAGATAGCCAGTGTCAAATTGGTTTCTTGCCTCAGGCATCACTAAGTTTCCTATTAAACAACATGGCTTAGGGTTTCAGACAATAGTTTTCAACTCAAAATATGTTTACTTTGACCATTCTTAAAATATCAATCCATGGTTAAATAAATGATTTTTATTTTTAAAGACCAAATCTTGTATAGCTTGATTCCTAGAGCACTGGAGTTCTGGATTCCTAATCATATTTTTCTGTCATTTTGGAGAAGAGTTCAGTGGTGAGGAGAAGAAGAAAAACTTATTGCCTCTTTTTAAGCTTTTCATAATATAATATGTACTACATTGTTTTCAATTTGGGCAGAAGCAGGTGGGCTGAGAAACGGTGAAAATATTTTGACCAACATTTTAATTATTTAGAGCATGTTATTTTCAAGTCAAAGTTAATTATGATTATTTTTAAAGTAAGGTTTATTTACAGTTGGCAGTGGGGGAAATATAAGACTTGACTTAAATGAGAAGTTTATTTGAAGGTTGGATCAAATTAAAGATGAATTAGATATATAGAAAGTGGAATCAAATGATTCATCATAAAAAATGGATGTGTGTTCAAGTAAAATTCACTGTGATCTATTTTCTTCTTTGTTCTTTTTTTTTTTCCTGTATGGAAAACAGCATTAAAACAAAACAAGAACAGGAAAATATGGGGTCAGAAACTCTTATTATAAAATTAGATTGCCAGTCTTATTGACTCTTCTCTGTTTTCTGATTTCATTGTAAATCTCTCTCTCTTTCTCTCTTTTTTTAGTTTCAAAAATCCTACCCTGAAGTCTACCAAGAACGATTTCCCACACCAGAAAGTGAAGCACTTCTGTTTCCCGAAAAACCAAAACCAAAACCACAGATGGTTATGTGGGCTCTAAAAAACCCTTTCCAACCATTCCAAAGAACTAGAAGTTTTCGGATGTAACACTTCCACAGCCAGTGCGATCTCTGACGTTGTTTTTAGTAAGTGGGCGGTGAAAGAGGATAGCGGTGGAAGAAAGAGGAGCAGGAAATACAGGCCACTGAGATACAAAGATGGTCTGACGTCAAAACATGTTGAGGTGCCCAGCCGGCGTGGCTCAATGCTTGACGGTCGACCTGTGAACCATTAGGTCATGGTTCAATTCCCGGTCAGAGCATGTGCCTGGGTTGCCAGTTTGATCCCCAGTGTGGGGTTATGTAGGAGGCAGCTAATCAGTAATTCTCATCATTAATGTTTCTATCTCTGTCTGAAATCAATAAAAACATATTAAAAAGACATACACAAAAAAACCACGTTGAGCCATTATCAGTATTTTTCTAAAACTCATTGCTAGATTTAAAGTGTACAAATCAGTTAAACATTATGAAATATGAAGTAATGTTAACATGTTTGTAATTATTCAAAATTTCAAGGCTATTTTTATTTGTAGTTTTTCATGGTGTTTATGAAATAATTGTGTGTACATCCTATTAATGATGTCTTTGTTATAACCAAGTCTTAGAAACAGTGTATATACTTGAATAAGAAAACACTGGGTACTGTTACTGTGATGCTATCGACTTAATAGCCAATTATGATAGCTCCTGTATAAATTCTGATTTTCACTGTTTCAGAGAGTCTTAAATGTCATGTGTTATGATATCTCTATCTTTTATTGAAGGTTTGTTGGCTGCTATGACAGATTTTACTAAAGCTGGTTCTTTTATAACATATACTAGTGGCCCGGTACATGAAATTCGTACACATTAAAAGGGAATTAATTAGAGGGAATATTTTAATATTGCTATTTACCCTTTCTCTATAATAGAAGTGTCAGAGATGAAAGAAAATTAGTAAAATGTATATGAAAATCTCCCTCCTGTCAGAGTCTGGGGCACGCTGCGGAACCAGAGTCAAGTCCCCACTCATCTGTGCAGCTTGAAATCATGTGAGACCCAGATCCGGCTGGCTCCACCCCTGTAAAGCCCTGCAGGGCGGGGCGGGGGGGTTAGGGGGGGAAGGGGCGGTGCAGCTTCAGGTCTCCAATCAAGCCACACTGGGAGTGGGGCACAGCCTCAGTCCCCCAGCGTGATGACCATTTGCAAATTAGCTCTTTATTATATAGGATTTTAGTTGGTGTTAATTAGAAGTGGAGTAGATTTTCATCTGACTGCTGTGATATAATTTCAGTCATGGCTAGAGATGGAAAACTGAACAGGATAAATGTTTTCATTTCCTTTAGGCATGTGATTCTAAGTCAAATCTTTGTTGTTTCATAAAAAACACAAATAGATTAAGTAAAATGAAACTACCTTCTTTATAAATATGTTTCCCCCAGCTTCCTCATTCTTTTGAAAGTAAATAGAATGTAAATAAATACTGTTTGGTTTTTAAAAAATGCTGTACATGGTGTTTTATGTTTTGTTTTGTTTTTGTTGTTTTTTTGGTATTAAGTATCTTCAAATGCTTAACATCATTGCCTTGGCCACTGTTCTCATATTAGTCATTTATTTCTATGAAAGAATAGAACTGAGATTTGGACTTTTGTACTAGTCTTTAGGAGGGTGCTTCATCTTTTTTTTTCTTCTTCTTTTTTTCTTTATGCTTTTGCAAATAGTGGCACACTTGGATTATGGACTATCTGGAAGGCTTCTGAGAACAAGTACCCCAAAAGCTCAAGTAACACTCATTAATGGGCATGCTTTGCTCTTTGTTCTGATTTCCCTGCACTTGAGATCTGCCCGGTTCTTTTGTAGCAGAATGCCTCCAGCAATCAACTGAGATTTTGCTTACTTAAAATGGATAAAAGTATTTGTATTAGCTTGGGTACCATCTTACTTTGCAAATATGTAAAGTAATAGGAGTGTTTAGTGTTTCAGGATTTATTCACAAACCTTGAAATTCTGTGTAGAGCAAAGAATGTCTACTTTTTACTCAATTTGCTCTCCAAAGTAGAGTTTACTTTCCAGAGCATTCTCTCCTATTGTTTACCTATGGAAATATATGTTAATTTTTCTTTTTTCCTTGTACTGTTACTTTTAAGTATTGAGAGATTATAAAACATCCTTGTCACCTAAGTGTAAAATTGATGAATGGACAATGCCAATTTTTCAAAGTGGTTCTAACAATTCACACTCTCATCAGCAGTGTATGAGTTCCTTTTGCTCAACATCCTCACCAAAACTTGCTGTTGTCAAGAGTTTGAAATGTCAATGTGGTGGGTGTATGATGGTATCTTATTATGATTTTACTTTGTATTAATATGGTTAAAGGCTATTTCCAAATATATGTACACTAGTGGCCCAGTGCACAAAATTCATGCACATTAAAAGGAAGACACAGAGTCAAGTCACGGCCCACCCACATGTGCCTCAAAATCATGTGAGACCCAGACCTGTCATAACAGTCTTTGCCTTTGAATAAACATATTTCTCACTCTATCCTCTCTTATTCTCTGAAGTAACTTTTCCTGTGCTACATTTCTTTCAATTCAGCACTTTTTTCTTCAGGTAAGTCTAGTCTCCTATTAAATTCTTATATTCACTATTATGGATAGTTGTATCCACTCTGAAGTTCAGGAAACTGAGACTTGGTGAGGTTGGGTTACTTCCCTAAGATTGCCAGCTTGTGAGTAACAGTAGGCAGTCATAATCAGCTCTGACTGACTGCAGAGCCCAGGCTCCTGACTAACATGTCTTATTGTCTCCCAGTGAACACCAATCTATGGTTTTTCTGAATACTTTTTAGATAGTTACATATAAGCTCACATGTTATTTTTTCAGCCTATACTTTTTAAAACTTGTGATCTCTGATTTCTTTTTGATTTGCAGTGTTTTCATTGTTTTAGCTTAGCTGGCAGATTCATTTCCAGCTTCTTTTGGTCACTTTCTACAGATACCTGCTGACAATTTTTCACTGAGTTTCCCACAAATTCCCATTAAAAAAAAAAAATACTGCAACAGTGATTTAAACAAAGTGTTCATTTGAAGCTGTGATTTAAACAGTCTGCATTTGAATATAATCATGTATTTGTTTTATTTGTAGGTATGCTTTTTAAAGTATTTTTATATTTATAATTGCTTTTATTTTTAGGTATGATAAGTAGAAAATGCCATAGCAATTATCATTCATCCCAGAAACTATAATAAGGAATTTATCAAATAAGAGTTTCTGTATGGAAAATTTGAGAGTGCTGCAGCACATTTTTAAGGTTGAAATACCTCCTGAGTGAGCAGGCTGATGGAATTCAGCCCTTCATCATTCTGACTTCTCACACCTCTCCTGGATCTGCCTTCAGGGAATCCTGTCTGGGGCCTAGCAAATGTAATAGACATATGGGCCATGACTCAACGTTTGTGTTATCCAGGAGCTTGATTCTGATTCTTACATCTAGAAGAGAGTTTCTAAACATTTTTATAGGAAATGTAGCTTTTTAAAAAAAGCCAGTATTTGTGAACTGCTTATGTAGAGGAGGAAACGAGGCCTGGCCAGCGTTCTAGCATCTGATGTGGAAGGGCAGGTCCCAGCTGGCCTCTGGGCCCTGGGTAGTACCTGGGCCCCTGCCCAGCTCCCTCAGCACCTGGCGGCCCCCTGCTGCCACCACTGGTTGCTGTCTGCGGGGCAATTGGCAGGTGATTAGGCCCCACGTGCACCCACCTTGGCCTGGCCCTGGCCCTCTCACCTGCTCCACCATCCCTCTGCAGACCCTCTCTTGTTGGGGCCCATCAGGGCCAGCAGCACCTCCACTGTCACCTGCTGCCAGGGTATGTCACTGATTCCTGCCTGATGGTTAGTACATATCATAATGATTGGTCAAACTCTTGGTTGAGGGGACAATTTGCATATTAGGCTTTTATTATATAGAATGTCTTTATTTTCATACCCAAGAACCTAACCCTCAAACTTTAAAGGACTAGAGAAAAGTGAGACTATTACCTACTAAAAGCCATACCAAGAGGCAATTCAACTATTTCTATGCACCATAGTAGTTGCCTAAATTTGCAATACTCAAAAATGAGACATTAGAAATTCTAATCTTGGGGCATTGGAATCAGGATTTCCTTGCTTAAGACAAAAAAGTATAATATCTTGATATCAATGCATATTGGTTCTCACAAGCAAATGAATTAACATAAAATATGATTGATTATTGGGCCTTTAAGAAATTATTTGCTCCTGGATACTCAAGTGTTTTGAAAGTTGAGATCTGGACCACATTAGTAAACAGAATTTGCTTATTTGTATCAACTTGGAAATACATTTATTTAATTTTGTAGAACAAATATTCACCCTTGTATAGGTAGAAGATGTATAACAGTATAATGAGTAACTTCTGATAACCTTCATATTCAAGCTTTCAATTTGAGGAATTAAAATGTGAACTATAATGGGAAAATAGGGTACTAGCCCAATTTTTAAATATATAATTTTCAGTTGTTTCTGCATATCTGTGTTGCTATGTAAGCTTTAGAATTTCCTAATGAATATAAGGGTTAATTAAAAATGATTAAAAATGTACAATATCTGCAAATACCACCTCAGAGAATTATTAAGTGAATTGGTTTATGGAAAAGAGAATAAATTATGTTTTCCATAAACCATGCCTATTTCAAAATAATATATGTTTTTGGCTAGGTCTGTTCACTCTGTAATATCTCCTTTGGGGGCTCTTTTGTCAAAACTGAGAACACTTATAGTATCCAAAGCCTTTTCTATGAGAATATAGCAAAAGTTATTCTCCCTTCTTCTGACTCCCACAAATTTTACATGTTGCTGTTAACATATCTCTAAAAGTAAAAGCAAGGTAGTATTCTAGTGAAATAAATGCAACTTTATTTAATTAAAAAACAAAACAACATACCAGAGGACTAAAGAGTTTAATTTTTGTGAAAAATAAGTAAACTATGATTGATCTTTAAAATTTAAGTACTTTTGTTTTGATTAGTCGAAGGCTAATCCAGCAT